CACTAACCAATGGCATACTACCAAGTTTCTTGCAGTACGTAAATTTGTTGGTTTACTGTAAATCAATTTTAGAGGGCGGTAAAATAATATGCATATAGTAGCAGTTTAGCAGCAGTCTCAATAAACTTCAATGACTACATCTCCTTTTTATGAACCCACTAAAATTATAGAAAATTTTCTAAGACATCAAAAAAAACGTGTAAAAAAATATGTTTGAAAAATATGATTTATCGCATAGTTTCAGTACTGAAGCAACACTGTGGGATAAATTTGTGGCTGCAAGAAGCTCTTCAACCTATACTACTCGTGATGATAAATCTTCGTCATTTTTTTAATGATGTTTTCAACCCTTAGCTGTACACTATGTCCAATAACACAGGCTACACGTACTGATACAATATTGAAGTTGACTACATTTGGCTGATACACTTAGAACAAAACAGTATATATGCCATCATTAACTTGAAGAATACAAAAATAATGAACCAATATGAAAGTACAGTGTGGTGTTGCTGTCTCAATCCCGTTCGAACCCCACACTTTACTAACTGAGCGAACACTAGCACAAAACAAACGGACCTATTCAGGACCACCACATCCTTCAGAGAGTGACTACCATTACATGATTGTTTCAATGTTTTAATATTTAACATCAGCTGCTTGAACGCGATCTTCATTACACCATCGCGGAATCACCGAATAAAAGCTTTCCCATTTATAACAACCTGTTTTGATTGGCTGCTTTTGAACTGAGACGGCGTAACTTCACGATTGACATTTAAAGCTCATTGTCACCTAAATGCTCATTACTGTGCAATTTCGACCGAGTCCGATAGTTACCTCACTGAGTCAAGTGGTTTAAACGATGATAATTATTTTAATTATTACTGTTCGTTTTATTATGTTCTAATCTACGATCATAAATCTATTCACTTCCAAAATTTAGGGGGTTCGACCGAACTCCCCGAACCCCCCAAACTACGGGCCTGTCAGATCTACCAAAGTTATCGTCGACTCACCATGTTTTACAGTACGACGATTGTTTGACTCTTGGCGAACATTTAACTCGTTTCCTAACTCAACAAGTTCA